AAATGTCATTCATGTGGCAAAACATTAATGAACGTAAAGCGTAAGTTCATAAAAGAATCCATAGACTCCGGGCCTGAGTCGTAATCAGATGAATTCACGAAAGTTGCACAACACAAAGGAAATGGTTTCAAAAGTCTGACCATCCTGTTTGCTAGGCGGTTAAGGCAGTTCAACAGTGTGGGCTGGCGTATTGAACAGAAGGAGCGGACAGAAGATGAAACTGTGTGGTAAGAACACAACTACAGAAATGATTATTACCACAACCTAACCACTCACTGAATCTAACAGGCGGTGATCAGAGAGAAGCATAACAAATTTCATCAAGTCACCATCATATGAACAAGCGGTCACAAAATTTAGAAACATTCAACGAGAAATTCGTAGGTAATTCAGTACATCCAAACGTTCTCCGTAACGTTCTGAATAGGTGTAACCAAGACATCCGTGAACACACTAAACTTGTACGAGGAAACACCCTATTGAGGGCATACGTGAACGAAATTCCTTACTAAGTCATATACGCTGACTGAAAAATAAATCTTCAGCTTTATTCTCCGACTGCCTGACTGATTCAATTCTTCGGAAACCCTAGTTTTTACCGAAGCACTCAAGGGGTCCTATTCGGCAGTTTAGAATGTGGCAACACTGAACTTCCATCCCACTGTACCTCTGCTAAACGTATGACAAACAATCCTCACTACTATTTTTTTTGTAGCAAACGCTGAAGAGCTTTTATTCAGGGTCAACCCACGTAATACAATATGCCAAGATAAGATCCGTCATACAATCATCGAAGAACCGGTCGCTAGTCTGGACTAAACTCTCCATTAGCCGTTTGATCAGAAGCTCCGATTTAGCGTTCTCCCTAATACATCTATTAACAAGGCGAGCGATTGGCCCGGAATGCACGAAGTCGCTCGTTGTCATTCTGTGACGAACTCTTTCTGGTCGTTTTTTCCCGTGCAACCTAGGGTGCGGAATTTATTGCTGCAACAGTTACGAGACGTGTTCACTGCCAATCAACTTGTAGCATTTATTTTGTCTTGATTGTACGTGGAATGCCCATTGCGTCAAATCGATTTTGGCTCCTCATTTACAGATTGTTTCCAGTGCATTCACGTCAGGGGCTCGGTGAAAATATGGATTAACGTATTCGTCGAGCAGACAGATAGCCCATTCATTTCCGTCGTCTTCTTGTTGAAGCCCAATGGATACTTTGATTTTTTTTACCATTTCAAACGCTGCAACGTGATTGCACTCAATAAGGCTGTCGCCGTCTCGGCGATGTCAAAGAAGTTTGATAAGTTACAGAACATCAAGATATTCATTGTTGGATTTGCAGTCTGGATATTGGCAACTCTAATGATGCAGTCTGATACAAATTAAAAAATGTAGTGGACCAAGGACAGATCCTTGTTGCATACTGTCTGAGATAGGTGCGAAGGAGGAGAGACAGAGCCAACTTTAACAAGAAAAACTCTATCATTAGGAAACAAGGCGATTCAATGGTGGATATCACGTCTGTTGCCGTATGCTTCCATTTTCTGTGGAAGTGGGCCTTGTGGTATCCGGTCAAACGTCTTTTAGTGCTCGCGTCTGATATATGACCATGATCTCTAGCATCCATAAAAAATAGCATCTTCGTTACGCAGGAAATAGTTGGTTAGAATCCGTGCTCAGATACAAAGTTGAGAGTATTATCTAAAAGGTGCTTTGAGATAGTTACTTTGGGAAGACACCCCTAGATCTCGCACGGAATACTGGTTCGGCTGATTGATCGACAACTGACAGGGGGAGTTGCCGATCATCAGATTTGTAAATAGAGATGACGGTAGTTTAATTCCATCCCTTGGGAGAAATAACAGTAGAAAGGGTTGACATGAAAAGTCACGAAATGATTTGACAGGTATAGAAGACACTTCCCTCAGTATTGGTGGATTAATCTGGCCTGGGACGAGTGCACTGGAGGGATTAGATTAAAATGAAATGCTTAACGTCATGCACTGAGAATTTTGCATATAAAAGGGGCTGTCTAAATACCTGTAGGGAGGGAGACTGGGAAAAAGGTGATGTATCAGAGTTGTAAACGGCGGCGAACTGATACATGGATAGTTCAACAACGGCGTTGGTTTCGGGGTAATTTAACCGTTCGCTTGCCTCGTGGACAAAGCTGAAAGTCGGTACATGTGACGGTAACGCATGTATTTCGGGAGCAATTTTTTTAGAGCGCGCTGTTTTGAGCATTGTCGATTGCTCTTGAAGACGATAACGACGGATTTCCGATTTGTACCTGACTGTGCATCTTGCGAAGTACTTCATTGTCTCCGGAATTATCGAATTGTCCCTGCTTGGCAAGTAGTCTTGCAGAGCTGTCAAGAAGTCGGATAATCCTTCTTGGGAGAGGAGAACGGCTCATTACCAACTTACGTGGGACGTACAACAAGGCAGCCTCATTTAAGATGGGTTTCATACATTGGTAGTCAGGCAACGGGAGTAGCATCCACGTAGAGCTGCGTGAGACGATTTTTCATACCATCAAAGTCGGCCCGGTTGAAGTAGTGGACCAGCTACCTCTTTGCTGGTTTCTGTATCCAGTAGCAGAGGAAGTCAAAGACCAGGATCAAATGATCACTGTGGCTTAAGGGAGCCTCATTACAAACCTGATCAACGTAATGATTTTCGTTTGTCATTAGGAGATCCGGTAAGGAAAAGGCCTGTCCAGGACGGCACCACGATGCAGACTGCAGGTTTTGTGGTTGAGCCTTATGTTACACAGTTATTAACAGAGCCCAGTCAAAGCTTGAGGTTCGTTGAGATTCTTGTGTCCAAGACGGTTTCTGAGCGTTTAAATCACACATGGTGGGCAAGTTGGGGGAGTGGTGATTAGGAATAAATTCGCTCAGGTGAAACAGAAGAGCCTCATCATCCAAAGGTGAGCTCGAAGATGAGCGATAGATAACTGTAGTGAGATCACCTTCGACGTCCCCAAAATCCTAAACTCCCTGCGACGTGAGAGTTGCCTTACCAGTACCACCGTGCCTGTTCACATTATCTTGTGAATGTAAATTTACTACAAACCACTAACATCAAAGTTAGTGTGTTGGCGTAGGTATCGCAGTCTTAGTCGTGACTGTATAATGAATCCGCGCCATCTCTACTACTATAGGCTACATTCACTAGGATAACAATGTTTTAGCTGTCACCGTTGGGAACGCCGCCCAACCAGTCTGACGCTTGTTTGAATTCTGAAGGTCGACTGAAGTTTCCGTCGACATTCGTCCTCTCTGGCGGTTGCCGTGCGGTTGTGCTTGAGGTTCTCTCACGTCCAACTCCCTAGCGCCTTTAACTGTTGCGTTGAAGTCTGCTTGTGAACGATTCACCGTCTTCTCACTACGACTTCCGTTCCGCGTTAACGTAAGGCTGGGAAAACCTTGGGCGTACGAACCTAGGAACTAGCATCGCGATATAACCCAATATAGTGAATTCTGACTAAGCAGCTTCATTTTCAACCATACAGCATTGCACATGGGAAGGATTGTTGTGGATGCGTACAAGAGGAAGGATTAACTGAAGACTAACGTAGATAGCGACCATTCCTATGCTTCCATTTATGTAGGTTTTTTTTTTTTTTTTGTTTGTTTTTTGTTTGTTTTTGTTTTTATGTTAGGTTTCTTTATAACACGTCAAAGTTGTTAGAGTTTTTTTTTTTGTTCTCAAAAGCGGGTCCTCAAGAGATTTATTTTTTTGTGTCTGTGATTTGTTGTGTATTTGTTATTCTCTTGTTCTTTTATTTACTTGGGCCTTTGTATTATTGTGGGTTTTCGTTTTCTTGTAGCAAGTAGTTTTTTTTCGAGTTCTTATTTTTAGTCGTTATTGCTTTTAGGGGTCTATTTTCGAGTCTTTTTTCTCGGGTTCTTTTTTTTTTTTTGGAGAGTTTTTTCTTCTGTTCTAAGGTTTTTTCACAGTTTTTATTTTTTTTTTTTAGGTCTTTTCCTATGGTCTTTGTGATTGTCATTTAGTTGTTTCTGTTTTGTGTTAGTGGTTTTTTTTTCCGTTTTCAGGGTTCTGTATGGTTTTCTTTTATTTTCATGAGTT